AAATCATTGAAATTAAATACATCTACATTGATAGATTATCATACTCAATATAGAGATTTTCAAATAGGATAATTTATTTTTAATATTTCTTGTTTTATTAATATTAGTGTTTCTTTTTTTAGTTTTATTTTTTTTAATTGGGTCCTATTGTTATATGAATTGAGTTTTACATGGTATATACTTAACTTACTCAATTCAATAAAAAATTGATGAATTTAACTGAATTCGCATATAGTCTAAGTTTATGAGCGAGTTAATATGATTTTGCAAGTTAAAAATATAAAAATAGTAAACTACTAGGAGTGTCAACTAGCAAATTTAATTAAGTTTGTATCTAGTCTAAGTTATGAGTGAGTTGACATAATTTTATAAATTAAAAACATAAAAAAGATAACATCGGATGAACAACTCAAAAACTTGCCAGTAATGCCTTTAAGGATAAAATAAGAAAATTATTATTGAATGTTAGTGTTTTAGAGAGGATAAATAATATGAAATAAATTTTCCCTAACTAAAAAGACAAACATTTATTTGATGATAGTAAAAACACCATGCTTTACATTTCAATGGGAAGATGGATGTATATTTTGGATGGGAGTTAGTTAGTCCTTGGCTCAAGGGATAGGTTTAGCGAAAAGGATTAGCTCATCACAAAGTGATGAATGAAGGTTCAAATTTTCTTTGGGAGAGGTTCTCACATTTAATACTTAGTTATGCCGCAATTTTTTTTAAAAAAAGAGGAAACCTGTGAGCAATAAAAGAATAACAATTTTTTAAAAATAATAATTAAACTAGAACTAAAATTATAATAAAATACATTGATAATAATTTTTTTCTTTGAAAAATTATATTGAATTGGTGAATATAGTTTTTTATGTAAATATGCTTATTATATTTTTTTTATCATTAAAATATTATATGCTTCATTTGAATCAAATTACAAGACAACTTTAGAAAAAAATTTGTCTTAAAATATAATACAATTGAAAAAAATGAGATTTCATTGATAATACTTTTTTACTATTATCCTTTAAATGGAAAGAGAATTAAAATGATATTATAGTATAATGATTAAAGTGTTAGGGGCATTTTTAGAATTTATAATTTTGTTTTGAAATAGTAAGTTTGTAAAATATTATTATTGTATTTTATTGATATGCATAAGCTTATATCAAATGATCTTATAATTTTAGGAGGGAGGGAATACCAAATAAACTTTTGAATCGAAATATTTTTTATTTAATTTAAAGATATAAAAAAGGAAGATGTGTAAAGTTATATAACTTCACATCCCAAAAAATTTTTCTCAGAGTGATGCACCCCTCAAGAAAATGCGGTCTCCCGGGAGCCGCTTGAAAAACTAAGCTTTATATTTCAACAGAGAGACAAATTCAACTATACTCTTTTATATCTCGAACTATAAGAAAATTTTGGAAGAAATTTTTGTTCCAAAAGATATAATAATTTGAGAGAAATAAATTTTTATTAATGATATTTTTTTAATATTATCTTTTAAATGGAGAAAGATTGAAATGATATTATAACATAATAATTAAATATGTAAAAATATTTTTAAAATTTTATAATTTTGTTAAGAAAAATAAATTGTAAAGTATTACTCCTTCCGTTTAAAAATATAAGACATTTTTAACTGAATCTCACCCTAATAAAGTAGTTACCTACTTTTCAACTAACCCTATCTTTTTATATTTATTCCTATTAAACACCTTACAATAAATATAAAGTCATTATCAATAGGGGCACTTTTGAAAAAAAGGTAATGATTACACCTTGAAAGATTAAAGATGCCTTATATTTTTTAACATTCAATTGCTCAAAAAATACCTTATATTTTTTAAAGAGGGAGTATTATTGTGTTTTATTAATATAAGTAATCTTATCTCAAATTATATTATAATTTTTTGGACTGAATTATTTTATAATTTAGGATGGAGGGAGTATGAAATAATCTTTTTCAAATGTCAAATGGATCATGACACAGTTCCTCCAGCCCAAAATATAACTATTTTTTTATTAATTTTAATTTAAAATATAAACAACTTACTAGTGGTTGTAGAATTTTTTATTGTGTCATACCCATTGTATTTATTCATAACTTGAATTTTTGTGTGAACTTATATGCATTGAAGCTGATTGTGTGTGTGTGTGTGTGTGTGTGTGTGTGTGTGAGAAAGGTCTACTTTTCGAAAGGCCATTCCAATTAATGATAAAAAGTAGTAACAACTCAAGTGTAATGATTGAGAGACATGAGGTTAGTGCACATTTAAATACGGGGAACAGGGAGGAATGTAATGACATATTATTATTATTATTATTATTATTATTATTATGACAATCATATATATTAATGCTTGGTGTAAGAATGTGGTGATTAATTTTCTATATTTTAAGAATTTAAATGTTTAGAAATGCATATTAAATTTTCATAGGTGTATGGGGTTGAAATTCCAGACTTGATATTTGAATATCTCACAACTCTACCATATATAAGGAAACAAAATAAAAGAGAGAATGAATTTAGTCATAAAAGATTGAATTAATAATATTTAGGTTATATGATAATTTTTTTAAAAAAATTTATAAATATAAGTTTAAATAATTACAGAAAAAATTTTTACTTAAAGTATGATAATTATATGTAAAATTTAAATGTCTTATGTATAATTAAAACTTTTGAATATTTATTTTTTAAATGTATATTTTTAATCTATTTCTTTTAAAAATTTGTCAAATCTAACTATCACTTATAGGGTATTTTCAGAGGTAATTTGACTCTTTAACGGAAATATTAATTATATTTATTTTAATATTATTCTTTTCTTTTTATTATATTTTTCTCTCTTTAATGTTATACAAATAATATTATAATAAATGAATAGTAGTTTCAAAATTTATATTTATATTTTAAAAAATAAAATTGTAAATTATATTTAATAAAATGTATTACTATAAATAATTTTTTATTAAATTAATATGCATAATTTTGTTAAAAAGTATCTTGGATGAGTATTAATTTAATTTTTTTATGGTACTTAAATTCTCCAAATATTTCCTTCCTCCGTTTCTCTTTTAAGACGGGTTGTTTAGTCATTTCCCCCTCGATTCTCTTCTCTCTCATCCTCCCCTTTTTCATGTGCAGTCGTGGATGACTTTAAGCAAAGGATTGGGCTTCTCTCCTTTAAGAGGAGCCTCTTGTCACGAATGATATCTACGTGATCGTGTAAAGACCAATATAATGAATGATCTGCTGGTTAGCCTCCACAATATGGGTAAAGGGGGCGATATTAGTATTGGGTGCGTTCTGCCTTAGTCTTCGGGCTAAGTGCACAACTAGTTGGGGGCTAGTGCTACCTCCCTGATGAGCCCATGGCAGGGTGAAACTAGTGTGATTCGTATGTGATAAGGCTTATCCTGAGGATTATGGGGTCCTCGGGACACCGCACGAGCGCTGTGTGTTGCGCCAGACTCTCAGCCCGTGACAGAGTGGTATCAGAGCAGGACGTACTTTACTGTCGTGTGCCTGTGAAGTCCCACGTCGGGACTAATCGATCTCGACACCGCTCCAGAAAGGCCTCCGAGTAGGTGGGTCCAAAATAGTGACTCGGGCAGAAAGGTTGGTCGTTGTCGACTCCACTCCTGTTGGCTCGCGGGTGCAAGTGGATCCGAAGAGTGCCAGACTCAGGTGGCCATTCAACAGTAAGCTGATGTGTTTGTGGCAGTACTGTACGTACGATCCTTGAGCGGAGTCTTTCTCCCCTAGCACGAGGGCGTGCTAGATTGGGTGTGGGAGAATGTCACGGATGATATCTCTGTGACCGTGTAAAGACCAATGTAATAAACGATCCGCTGGTTAGCCTCGCACAATATAGGTAAAGGGGGCGACATTAGTATTGGGTGCGTTCTGCCTTAGTCTTCGGGCTAAGTGCACAACTGGTTGGGGGCTAGTGCCACCTTCCTGATGAGCCTATAGCAGGGCGAAACCAGTGTGATTCGTATGTGTTAAGGCTTGTCCTGAGGATTATGGGGTCCTCGGGACACCGCACGGGCGCCGTGTGTTGCGCCAAACACTTTCTTTTAGACTTGTTTAGTAGCTTGAAATCATAGAGAAAGAAATAGAATTGGACATGGAATATGTTAACATATGTGTTTGATATGCAATAATTATGATTCTTTAGAATCTGGATTTAAGGAAATTTGGCAGAATTCAATTCCATCACATGCATCATGGAATCCGATTCCATGGTTCCCTTTCTCCAGTTTGCCCCTTCTCTCTCCTCCAATATAATTTTTTTAAATTTTAAAAAGGACACTTTAGTCTTTTCTTATTTTAAGTACTTATATTTTATTAAAATTATATAGGATTTCATCATCATACCAAACACACTTTTAAATTCAATTCTATTCTAATTCCAATTTTAATTCCAATTCTAATTCTATTAAAAACTCTTCCATCATATCAAACATGGCCTTAAAGTAGAGAAAAATTTAAATCGTTCAAATTAATACTAGAATTTAATATTTTTATTTTATTTTTATTTATAAGATAAAAATATATAAAAATTATAAATTTTTAATAAATATACTTATTAATCTGAAAATTTAAATTTAATATAAATAATTTAAATTTAATATAAAAATATAAATTAAATTTTTAAATATATTTTGAACAGTATAAATATATTCTGAATAAAATAGTAAATTTATTAAAAAATTTTAATATTAAATTTAAATAATTTATATTAAATTTGGACTTTTAGATTAATAAGTATATTTACTAAATTTTTTTTAATTTTTATATATTTTTTATTTTAAAAAGATAAATAAAAACAAAAAATAAAAAATAAAAATTAAATTTAAATTATTTAAATTAAATCTGAACGTTTCAGGATAGGCAGAAGAGGAGAGAAGCCGAGTCCGCAAGCGACGGCCAAAAGTAAAATAATAACCAAAACCTCACCCATCCCTCTCTTCTCTATCTCTCTGTCTCTCTCTCTCTCAATTTCCAGTCTCCCTCACCATACTCTTAACTACTTTCCTCCTCTGTTCCTCCACACTATTCATGTGGTGTCATGCATGATGAGGTCTAGAGTCTTCTTCTCTCTTGCCGTTTTGCTGATCTGTGCCTTGGAGGTATAGTGCCGTCACTGAGCTCCCTTCCATTTCTTCTCCACTGTAGCTTAACTCCACCTTCATCCTTCCTTCCTTTCAGGTCATGTTTGATTTTGAACATTCATGCGCATTCACAAACATGGCCCAACATAAAATCTTTCCCTTATTTCTAATTCCTCTTATTACTTGCATAGTTTTTTGGTCACTATGCCCTATCGCTTCAGCAGCACTTACAGAATCTGAAGCTCTTCTCAAATGGAAACAAAGTCTTCCAAATTACCAACCAATTTTGGATTCATGGGTCACTCCATCGCAAGCTAACTCCAGTGAAGCTCAAGCCCTATGTTCATGGCGTGGAATCAATTGTGACTCTTCAGGTAGCATCGTTGAACTAAACTTGAACAGTACTGGTCTTGAAGGTACCATCGGAAACTTGAACTTTTCGGCATTACCAAATCTTCTCGTTCTCAATCTTCAATATAATAAACTCAGTGGAAGTATACCACAAAGCATTGGAATGCTCTCCAGGCTCCAATACCTATCTCTAGAAGGAAACAACTTTTCTGGGTCTATACCACAATCTCTTGGTCACTGTACAAATCTAAGTGTTCTCTCAATGGCTTTAAACAATCTCTCAGGCATAATTCCGCCTAGTTTTGGTAGATTGACCAATCTAACTGATGTTCGCTTTCACCGTAACAATTTACACGGTGATTTGCCACAAGAGTTTGGAAATGTATCATCTTTGATTGTTGTTCATCTATCTTATAACAATTTCACTGGCCATTTACCGCCTCAAGTGTGCAAAGGTGGGAAGCTTGTCAATTTCACTGCAGCCTATAATGGTCTCTCTGGTTCAATTCCACCAAGTTTGAGAAACTGTTCATCATTATACAGAGTTCAACTTCAAAATAATCGGTTGACAGGTTATGCAGATCAGGATTTTGGTGCTCATCCTAATCTCACTTATGTTGACATCAGCTTCAACAGAGTGCAGGGTAATCTCTCTGCAAATTGGGGTGCCTGCCCAAGCTTAGAAGCTCTGATCATGGCTGGAAATTCAATTGGTGGAAATATTCCTGCTGAGATATTTCAGTTGAAAAAGTTGCAAAAGCTTGACCTATCATCAAACCAAATAACTGGTGAGATTCCACCACAAATCAGAAATGCCTCCATGTTATACCTTCTGAAGTTAAACAGAAACAATATTTCAGGTTTGATGCCTACAAGCTTTGGAAGTCTATCTAATTTAGAGTCATTAGACCTGTCAATGAACAGGCTAAGCGGATCCATTCCTTATCAAATAGGGAATTGCTACAAGCTTGTCAATTTAAATTTGAGTCATAATGACTTCAATGGCACTATCCCATATCAAATTGGGAATCTTGACTCCTTGGAAGATTTCTTGGACTTGAGTTTTAATTCACTTTCTGGAGAAATCCCTGTGGACCTTATTAAGCTTGACAACTTGATAAGTCTGAATCTGTCTCATAACAATCTATCAGGTTCTATCCCTGATTCCCTCAGTACAATGTTGAGCTTGTCAAGCATCAACCTCTCTTACAACCATTTGGAGGGTCCTGCCCCAAATAGTGGCATATTTAATTCTTCTTATCCATTAGATTTGAGTAATAACAAAGATTTATGTGGGAGAATCCAAGGTTTGAGACCTTGCAATGTTTCAATATCACACATGGGAAGCACCAAAGAGAAAGTTGTGATATCTATTCTTGCTTCTTTAGCAGGTGCACTACTTGTTACATTGGTGTTAGTTGGGATTTTTTTTATTTGTTCAAAGGAAAACTCAGGAGTTTTAGAACAGAATTCAGGAACCAAGAAAGAAAGTCCATTTTCAGTCTGTCAATTTGATGGGAAAGATCTGTATAAAGACATTGTTGAAGCAACAGAGAACTTTGATGGCAAGTATTGTGTTGGGGAAGGATCTTCTGGAAAAGTTTACAAAATGGTCATGCAAGGAGGTGAACAATTTGCTGTAAAGAAGTTTAGATGTGAAGAAGATGAAATGGACATGGAAAGTTTAAAATCCTTCAAGAGTGAAATCAAAGCCTTGACAGAAATCCGCCATCGAAACATTGTGAAGCTCTATGGATTTTGCTCACAAGGATCACACACTTTTGCTGTTTATGAGTACATGGAAGGAGGGACTTTAGCTGATTTTCTGAAAAATGACACAAAGGCATTAGAGTTAGATTGGCCTAAAAGGGTGGATGTTGTCAAAGGTGTAGCACAAGCTTTATCTTATATGCATCATGATTGTGATCCACCAATTATTCATAGAGACATATCAAGCAATAATATATTATTGTCCGCAAATCTTGAAGCCCATGTCTCAGACTTTGGCACAGCAAGATTCCTGAAGGCTAGCTCATCATCAATTTGGACAACATTTGCTGGCACACGTGGGTATGCTGCTCCAGGTAAATTCAGTATTAAACAATGTCTAGATGATATGTTGTCTTAATATTCTCATAAATTTGGACTTGGGCTTTCTAGTTCTCATGTTTATTTCTTAGTCATCCAAATTCATCTGCGTGAAATTTTTTTTTTAATTTTATTTTTTTATTTGGTTGTGTCGAAGTAAACAAAACTAATTTTGAAGACTTGATTTCTAAGGAAAACAAAGTGCTGTCATTGTGATTCACTCAAGGTTGTGTCAAATGAGATCAGTTCATTCTAAATGATGCAGAGCTAGCATATACAATGGCAGTATCTGAGAAATGTGATGTGTTTAGCTTTGGTGTATTGGCTTTTGAGATTATCATGGGAAAGCATCCTGGTGATTTAATTTCCCACATACAATCCGTTGATGCTCAAAGCATAAACTTCAATGAGATTCTAGATCCTCGTCTGTCACCTCCTACAAAGCAGAAAAGGCTGAAGGAAGTGACTTTGATTGCAGATCTTGCTCTTTCATGTTTACAGACAAACCCTTCATCTCGACCAACCATGCAAAGCATCGCTCAGATGATTTAAATGGATGGTGCTCATAATTGAAGTTTGTTAACTTGTTCATAATAATTATTGTTGTGTCAATGTATCTGCTATTGCAGCAGCCAAGATTTTTGGTTAATGTTTAGTCTCTGTACCTCTTGGCATGTTAAGCTGAATCTTTTGGTACTTCTAAGTAATGTTACTTTCTGGTTTGTATTTGGAACCATCATTTTGTAAAGTTGAAATGACGAGGTAGTTTTCTTTATTTTAATGGAAAGGCCGATTCAACTGTGTGAAATAATGAATTTTTCATCATACAATTTAATGGAAAGCTTATCTATTTCAAAGAACTGCAGATCATGAAATAACTTGTCTCTTCCAGTAGTTGCTTCCAATGACTTAATGTATCATATGTACGAGAGGTTGACTTTTCTATCACAAAATCGATGAAAAGCATGACTATTCCGATTAATGATACGGCAAAAAGACTCAAATGTCAATTATATGAAAATTGAAATGACCTATCACAAATATGGAACAAAAAACATTCTAATGTTGATTGTACAGCTACTGTTGGTTTGAAATATAAAACATTTTTTATTAGTTATTAGGGAGAATTGCTAAAACAAACCTCTTTAAGAGGCAAATTGTTGTAAAGGACCAAATCAATTTTAAGGACCAAACTGATTTTAATGTTTGAAAAACACTCTGACCAAAAGACTGAATTGCCCCTTTGTGTTAAATGAATGATTTTTTTTTTTTTAAACAATGATTCTTCTCATCACCAGAGAGATTATCATGGGAAAGAATCCTGGGGATCTAATTTCCCACAAACAATCCTTTGATGTTCAGATCATCAACTTCAATAAGATTCTAGATCCACCTCTGTCACCCCCTACAAAGCAGCAAAAGTTAAAGAAAGTGATTGTGATTGCTGATCTTGCTCTTTCATTTTTACAGACAAACCCTTCATCTCGACCAACCATGCAAAGCATCGCTCAGATCATTTAAATGGATAGTGCTCATGATTGAAGTTTCTTAACTTGTTCCTCATGATAATTGTTGTGTCAATGTAGCTACTGTTGCAGCCAAGGTTTTTGGACTTTTGTTTATATTTTAGAGTACTGTTTGTACCTTGTCATGAAGCTAACTAGCTAACTGTCAATTAATCAAAGATCCTCAATGTTTAGATGAGCTTTTTAGTACTTTTAAGCATAGTATGAAAATTCAGGTTAACTCGTCTAATTAAACTAGTAAATCATTAAAATAGTGTCTTGACTGAGTTAATAAAATGTTTTGTTTATAACTAGTTTAATCACAGCTCGATTATAATTTGAACTATTAATCTTTAAACTAGTTTTTTGACCAGTTTAATGATTGATTTGGTTTTAAGTACTTTTTTTAAGTAATGTTATCTTATTGTTTCTATATGGGACCACAATTTTGTGAAGTTCAAATGATTTAGTTTCTTAAGTTTAGGAGAGTTGTTGATTTATCACATAATGCTCTGCTTGTTCAAGTTATAATACTTTGTGATTATACATGGGAAATGAAAGCTACTTTCCATGCTAACATGTTAATGGAAGAAGCCATGCTCTATATTTCAATGGAAAGATCAATAATTCAGCTTATCAAATAATGACTTTTTCATCCTAAAATTAATGGAAAGCTTATTCTTTTTCAAATAACCAACTACTAGCTCATCTATTTCGAATGCCAAATATGTGAAAGGTTGACTTGTCAGCCACAAAAAACGATGAAAAGCATGGCGTTTCCAGCTACTGTTGTAGCAAAAGACTCAAATGTCAATTACTCCGACGTTTCACATCATGTCTTTTTGGAGAAAAAGGTTATCTCTCAACTCACAAAAGTGGACAGCTTGCCAAGGAATTCCGACAAAGAATGCATTTTGGGTTTCTAAAGGAAACTTGGCCCACAATTGATAGTGAAGGTGAACTCTGGGCTATCAAAAATGGGCTTGAGACATTTAAGAGTTTAGGATAATGCAAAATCCAGCTTTATTCCGACTCCCTAGAAATCATCACGTGTGCAGATTTCATGGCTGAATTAAAGGAGCTCACAGTCACAGTACAGACAATGAAATTTCTTTGTGCCCTGAAATTCCTATAGGATGTTTTCTTTATATATCAAGAAGACTTAAATAGGATTATATAGAGTTTTTGTTTTTCTCTGTTTTGTAGTTTGATATAATTGTTCTTCTCAGGCTTCAGCTTGCCTTTTTATCAATAAAAAATTATACACTTACATACATGTACATGTGAAACTATTTATATTTATATGCACATAAATGAGATACACACCTACTATCATATTTATTAAGTTCCCCTTACCCAACGTGGCAACGTAGTACCTTAAAAAAAAAGAGGAAAAATTGCTAAAACCTACCTGACCAAAAATTTAATTGTGGAGAGGAACCTAGAAAATTTCTAAGAGGAGGTCCTTTGCTGGCATTAATTCAAAGCTTAAAATGTCCAGATTGCCCTTATGATAAAAAAAAGTTGAACAAGGTTTTTCACTATCAATATGTCATAAGGTCTTTTGCTATCAATAATTTCATGTCAATGTTTAATACAAGGTCCTTTAGTGGTAATTTATTGAGCCTCGAAGTATGTTTGAAGCATATGAGATGTTTCTTCCACGATATGCAATTGATCTTCAATAACATATAATTTTTTTATATATTTAAATATCACTTTTGCATATTTGAATATCCCTTATCAAAATCTCTTGGACACCTTTGGATGCATATGCTATATTTCATCCATAATATGTGATTGCTCTTCAACGAAATATAATTTTCTTCCATATATTTGAATATCACTTCTGCATACTCAAATATCCCTTATTAAAATCCCTTATAGGCACTTTTGGATGCATGTGCAATATTTCTTCCACGATATCCGATTGCTCTTCAACGAAATGCAATTTTCTTTTATATATTTGAATATCACTTATATATATTTAAATATTCCTTGTTAAAATCTTTATAGACATCTATGAATGTTCTTCCAAGATATATGATTGCTCTTCAATGAAATGCAATTTTCTTTCATATATTTGAATATCACCTTTGCATAATTGAATATTCTTTATTAAATTTTCTTATGGACACCTTTGGGTGCATATACGATGCATAACCCGTCAAGTAAAGATTGTGGGTTCCACCCATTATGCCATGTATAAATGGACTAAGAGAAAATATATCTATAATGTATTATTCTATAGAGCAATTTTTCCCATAAAACCTAAAAGACAATTTTAAAATATAAAACAAATGCATAAGTTGTCAAAAATTAATTGATAGTGAATGTCAATAATTGAAATTTTTTTGACTTGGAGTGTAAATGAGGAATTACATGTGTTCAAATCTATCCTAACTAGCACAACCTTAACCACAATATTTTATTTCATTAGACTTCATAGCTAGAACGGGAGGAAAGAGGGTTTAAGCAAACTTGAGTAGCAAAGAGAAGGCAGGAGTTGGGGTAGCTTCCACATGAGTTTTAAATCAGAAGTGTGTTTATGTAGATATGATGTGTGACAAAATAATATGTTGTGCCTAGGGTTAATTTCTATCAATTAGAACAAATTTGAACACATATATTTCTATATATGTTTGGATTTTGAGTCAAATAAAATATCATCATGGTCTACGTTTGATAACATGTACCTTTATTAAGGATTAGGGATTTTTGTATTGTTTATAGGATTGATGGGGAAAATTGAACCAAAGTGTATTACTTTATGAATATTTTTGCCTCGAATCCATTTACATGGGGCATAATAGGTAGGACCCACAATACTTACTTAAAATTGCACCATACATGTGTTAAGGATACCAGTAGCTCATTGTAGAATTCTTTATGGGTAGATTTGCAGCTTAACCAAATTTTTTTTTGAAAATTGTGCAGATATGATTAATTAAACACTTATAAGCACTAGAATAGTATATTCTTGAGGAAAAAATTTCACAAAATGAATTTTCCGGTAACAATATTTGAATTCCCAAAGAAATGATCTTGCTAAAGTGGACGATGACAGTTTGTGTTCAAGTCTACAGTTTGTTACCATAAGCTTGGTTTGAACAAAATCTCCAAATTTGGGAAAATTTTAATCATCCCATCCCAAATATGAATTATAATTGTTAAATAAACGGCCTTTGGTTATAAGCTTGTTTTAGCAAAAAGAACGAGAGGTTTATAACTTCATTGCTTGGCTATATTATGTGTCATTTTTCAGTTTTGCCACAAATAATATAAATAGCTCTTTGTCTAATGGGGTTTCACTATCTTATACAACTCTAGCAGACATTGTTCTACCTGAACAAGAGAGGGGAAAAAAAATTAAAGATCTATCTAGAATTCAAAGAAGAACAAAATATGGACGCAAATTTGAGTATGATTTATATTTCTGCTTTATTTTTACTACAAGCATCTTCAATCCTGGCTCAACCTACTGTTTTTGATATAAGAAAATATGGTGGAGCACCTAATGGAGATCTGACCTCGGTGAGTATTTATTTAAATATTGCATTCCTAGTTTGAAAGTTTACTACAAAAAATGAATTTTCTAACAATAAATTAATACTTAACAAATTTTGTGACAAATAGTCCTATTGCAAATAAATTTTTTGACAGATATATTCACTAAATTTCCAACACAAAAGTTGTATTACAAATTTTATGATTGATATGTGAGGAAAAATAAATTTTGCCACATTTATTTTGTCATGTAATTATGCCTCCAACATTTTTTTTTTAATATATTTAATTAAAATATATTTGGCTTTGTTGATTAATGTTGAGAAGAGCTTAGAGAGAGCATGGGAAGTGGCATGTGCGTCGACAAGTGCAAGTAAAGTTTTTGTGCCAAAAAGTACATACAATTTGAGACAAATAGAACTAAATGGTCCTTGCAAGGCTCCAATTGAGCTTCACATTGAAGGCAACGTTGTAGCACCAGAAAACCCTAATCAATTCAATGGAGATTCCCAATGGCTTAGATTTGGATACATTGATTCCTTTACCTTATCTGGTGGTGCCACTTTTGATGGTCAAGGTTCAATAGCTTGGAACAAAAATAATTGTGCTAAAACTTGGAATTGCAAGAAGCTTTCAATGGTAAGTAATAATTTAAGTTATGCTCATTTCTAAAATTCACAAACATGTGTTGTATTCCTTTTATAATCATTTTTTGAAACTATTTATTAAAACATAACAAGTGTAGAATTTTTAAATAATAATAATATAAAAGTATATGTTTTAATAG